TAGGAAAGTTGACGTTTTGGGTCGGGACCCTTCTTCAGAATGAAAAGGAGGGTCTGAAGAAGAGTCCCAAACTGAAACGTCAGCTTTCCTACTCCTCTGATGCTGCCTGGCCTGCTGTGTTCCTCCAACTCCACGCTTTGTTGTCTTTAATTCGAGCACCTGCTTTTACCCACGTTCTGTATTGTAAACGGTAGACGGCTGCTACCTCCATCACTCTTCTCTCTTCCCCCTTTGGAAAAAACTTCTCCATGGCAGTATGAATTAATGGACCTGATATCCAAGTAACCAGGAACGTAATTCTATATCGTTATTAAATTGGCAATTTAAAGTAAAAGTGATGATGCTTATAGAGCTTGCAAAACCTGACAATTCTAACACTGGGGTGGAAGTTGATATTAACTGTCTATCCACTGTTAGCATCACTGTTCTGGTCAAAGATCTTGCACCTACCCCCAGTAAAACAACCTCCGCCTCCCTTTGACATCCAGCTACGTTAAGCCCTCTCTCTTTGATTAAACATTTGGCCATCTGTCTCAGTGTATCCTCTTTTGTCTTCATGCCATAGCTTGACTGACTGAAGCACCTCACCATATTTTATTTTCTGAAAGGTGCTATATAAATGCAAGGTTTGTTTGAAAGATCTGTAAAGAATGCAATTCAAAGGAAATATTTTGTTTGTTTAAACTTTTTCGTTAACCACTTAAAAGTAGCTTTATTATTTGAATTGATAACGGCAGCTGGTGTAAGTGGTTTGGTTTTGTCAATAATCCTGTTTATTTTCTGAAGTTTATCATCTTATTAAGAAACAGGGTAAACTATGGAAATCCTATTACTAAGGTAACTAAACATTTGTAATGTCAGGGCCATTTCCCATCATTAGCTGGCTTGTAGGGGTTAAAAAAAAGCTTGGCAATGTGAGCTGGTAGTTCTATTCAACATAAAGGAAAAGTGCTTGGAGAAGATTCACTAATAATGTTGGTACCTTGTCTCATCTTCCAGAGATGGCCTGGTACAATAAATTATTTGGGTACAATAAGTTATTTTGAGATGCTACAACATGGGTATTTGCTCACAGAAAGATCCCACAATATTCATAAGTTGAGCAGTGGTTTCAATCTGTCTTTGTTCCTATTGTCTGAATCTCATTGCACCTCAATGTGAGACCAATTGCCAATTGAAGGAAGGTTGAGTTATTTCTTTTCCCACATGTTTGAAATTGATAAATACCAAGTGAAAAAATTCAACCTGTGTGGCTGTCTGCAGGGTAGTCGGTAACCAGGCTTTAACTGGATTTCTGAGTAAAAGCAGATGGCCATATCAACCATGAATTCTAATCTCGCTCCTTGTTTTAGTATGTGACTTAAATGAGTTTCTTCTTCTTTTACCAGCACTGCTGGCTTTTTGTACAGATCTGAGCTCTGCTTTCATTGTGCCAAAGCCATCAGCTGAAATGAGCTCAGATGTAACAGAGTAAAATCACCCAACCTTGAGCTACTTCACTGAACCCTTCAAAAGTAAATGCTGTACCAAGTCATGTTCCCTTAATGAGAGTATTTCAGTGGACTACTTCTGTCTGCAGATTCTGCCTGACTCGCTGACGGTTTCCAACATTCTCTGCTTTGTATTTTTTTTCTCGATGTCCAGCTGTCTTGCTTTTGATTAGATGCAACAGAATTTCTCCTCGATGGATTAAAAACATTCCAGGATTAAAACCCGACAGGTTGATGATCTATAAGCAGCATATTCATTCTGTTGAGCTCTGTAGTACATGATGCAGCTGGTCTAGCTGTGCTTTGATTATATAATACTTGTTAGTCGTGCCATCCTGTTAACCTTCTGCAAATTGGAGCTGTCTTCCAGACTGATAAATGGGTTAATGACTTGTGGTGATTGTGATTCTAAGAGAGCTCGAGAGTGAGAGACTTGCTGAGAGAAAGGATTAACGGGAGAGGAGCTGACCACAAGAGAGCGGGCAGAATATGGAAAGTCAAGGAGAGAGAAACAAAGAGACGTTTAGACCAGGAGAGAGTAAATGAAGTCTGTGTCCAGATGCAGGAACTTGCCAGATGAGCAGGTCTGACAATACTCAAAAAGCATAAAACACAAAGCTCGCTCACACAAGCTAAAAGACATCATCCAGTGATGTACCCTCCCTAAAGACATTGGGGGCCTATCTACCGCACATAGACTGCAGCGGTTCAAGAAGGCAGCTTGTTACCACCTTCTCAGGGGCAACTAGGGACGGACAACAAATGCTGGCCCAGCCGGTTACACCCATATTCCATGAGTGAATAAAAGAACTCCTGTCCTCAAATTGGCCCCACTCTCTCTAACCTCTTCCAAGATCGCTACACTCCTTTAATTCGTCATGGGTGGATGTACCAAGGCCATAACAGTTCAAAATGCAGGTCACTTTAAGCCTCATAACAGAACAGTTCCTGGGATGATTGACAGCAGATAATACCCATCAGACTTCTCGTTTAAGAGTTGATATCTTTTGGGGGACCCTCTTGTGGACCGAGAGGCCAGGGTTTAAATCCCACCTGCTCCAGAGGTCTGTAATACCATCTCTGAACAGGTTAGTTAGAAAAATAAATTTTCAATAAAAAAAAGAGTTGATTTCTCCCCGCTCCCTCACATTTGGAGTCATTGCACTGCCATTAACAGGTTCTGCATGTAAATTTATCAGTTGGAAAGCACAGGTAATTTACCGGTGCTGGCTGATATGTGGAAAAAAATATACTATATGGGTGATTTGGTGATGAGGTGAAAAACCTTTTCAGTGTGTAAAAGGAGAGAGAGGAAAGAAAGGGAGGGGAGGTGGGGAGAAAGGAGTGGAATTCTGCACCCAGTGCA